TAAATTTATGTTTTATCTATAGGGATTTGCTAAAGCGTATATAGAAATGAACTGTAAATCTTAAAAGTATTGTAAATAATATTGTTATCTTGTGTCTATGTACTGCCTATTCCTATGATGTTTACGCTTAAATTATGTACGTTTTAGGACAGATCTGGACTACCATTTCTTTCCAATAAATTCCTTCAAACCCAGCAAGTACTCCCTTGTCTTTGTCAGGATCAGAGCACCGCGGTTATATACCCACGGGGGGAATGGAACCCAGGTCACACTTGTACATGTATGGAAGCCGGTTTTACATATTTTCCAAGTTTTGTGATCGCAGGGATTTATTTACTGACTTTTCGACATAAAAAGATTACCATTGGGTTTAGCCTAAAAGGTGATACATGTTAAATCCTTTTTCAATTTCATAATTGTATCATGACTTAATAGACTTAATTTGTGACTGAGTGAAGTTTTAGGAATACTCCCGCCATTTCACAGTTGGGGATACCAGAAACAAACAAGACTCCAGAAACAAACAAGACTTCACACATTGTACCCAGGGCAATCAAACCAAGCAAACCAAGGCCTTCGAGCCAGTGTGGAAAGACTTCCGCCTCGTACCATGCCCCTGATTTGAATTCATTCTAGTAAATACCTATCACCTATCATCTGATAAGGACGACTTTAACGCGGAGAGAGCTAAACTTGCCCAGATAAACGTTGGTGCTGCCCTACCATCCAAGAAAGCTGCCTACAGGGAGAAAGAACGCCGGCGTGTGGGGCTGAAGGAGCAGCTCAGATGCAGAGAGAAGTCTCCTCATGAGTTCCTTGATGCAGTCGGACCACTGATGATGTTCAAGTGACTCTCGAATAAGTGTTATCTGTGAACCTATCTCATATGTTTTATAGGTATATAGTGTATATATGTATAGGTATATGGTGTATATATGTATAGGTATATAGTGTATATATGTATAGGTATATGTGTATATATGTATAGGTATATAGTGTATATATGTATAGGTATATAGTGTATATATGTATAGGTATATAGTGTATATATGTATAGGTATATAGTGTATATATGCATAGGTATATAGTGTATATATGTATAGGTATATAGTGTATATATGTATAGGTATATAGTGTATATATGTATAGGTATATAGTGTATATATGCATAGGTATATAGTGTATATATGTATAGGTATATAGTGTATATATGTATAGGTATATAGTGTATATATGTATAGGTATATAGTGTATATATGTATAGGTATATAGTGTATATATGTATAGGTATATAGTGTATATATGTATAGGTATATAGTGTATATATGTATAGGTATATAGTGTATATATGTATAGGTATATAGTGTATATATGTATAGGTATATAGTGTATATATGTATAGGTATATAGTGTATATATGCATAGGTATATAGTGTATATATGCATAGGTATATAGTGTATATATGCATAGGTATATGGTGTATATATGCATAGGTATATATGTATATTGTTTTTGATAATATCCACAAGTAAATGTGATCTGGCAAATATATGTTGATGTACATATATATGTTGATGCAATGTGTCTTAATTTAAAAATCATGATTCATTGCGTGAATTAATAAAACTATAGTTAATACTTAATGTCTTATTTATTTGGGCACATACCTAAATTATCAAGGGTACAGCTTAATTAAGCTTTATACAACCAACCATAAACTGTGTTGTTTAAAGCGGTCTGACTTCTGGGAGGTCTGTCTTATGGGAAGATACCAGCCAATTGGTTAAAGCGTGGCCGTATGCATATGTCGGGCGTAAATTCTAGTCCGGGCGTAAAGTAAAATGTGCGCCCGGACGTAACGTTAACCGGTATGCACATAGTAGACGTAGTTAAAGTTACGCCAGTCGTAGCGCTCTATATTTACGCCACCTACCCAGCAGGCGTAAGCCAGGCGTAGCCTTGTAATGGCGGCACTGGATGCCGAGTTTTTTATCAGGCGCACATTTTCAAAAGTTTTTAAAAGTGAACGTTGTGCGAGAATTGCGCTCGCGTGGTCCTGGATCTGCGTACGGCTATAAAATTACACAGAAATGTAGAATATTTAATTTCATATCCGTTGGTATAAATATAAGTGCGACTACCTCGGCGGTTTGAGAAATAGACACTGCTAAATGTTGTCTAAAATTTTGTTACGCGTTAAGAAACTGTCAATTTCTCCGCTTTTTGTCGTGCACCGATAAAAGCACTCTGCTACGATTTTTTTAATTTGGCATCTTTACAGAAAGTGTGAGCGAAGAAAATACAGCCTGATATCTGAACGACATAAGTGTATATGAATTGGGTTTATGTGCTAATGCATAACGTTAGACGCTCAACATTAAAAATGACTCGCAATAAGTGTCAAAAATGGATTTTCTTCTATGACGTCAACTGACGACAGAGAGGTCATACACGTATATAAAGATAAGGGGCATAACTGAGTTATGCTTAACACTAGGTCAATGTTACTCAGATCACTTGGAGAAAAGTTGTTGTGGATACTTACGCTATATTTTCGTTATGTTGTGTTCACGGTGAACCAACCTATTCCATTACAAAGTTCCCCAATGTGAGCGGATACGTTTTGGTAGTTTCACAATTTATAAGAAAAGATGGCAATGTACTACTTGAGAAAGCAGAATAGCGATTTGGATGGCCCTATCCGATATGTAAGTTAGTTCTTAGATTCCCATATTCTCCTGTTTGTGTAGATGTATATTGACTAATTTTGCATCATTATTAACGGAGTACTAGCCATATCTTCAAATGTACTGAAATTACTGATAATAATACAACATTTTAGTTGACGTCATGGCTTGTTATATGCATTTTGCGACGTCGGAAAAAGACGACATTGGTTTGCTGATTAGTATATATCTTACCTAAATTCCATTAATTGTATGAAAGGTCTCGGCTTCTATGTCTGAATTTAACACTCTTTAGACCAAACATAAAATGAATGATTTTACCAATTAAATAGTGTCCTGAATATATCAACAATTAGACGGTTTGACTGCGTATCTTATTGTGAGCAACACGCGCACCTGTTTGGCATCAATTTAACGTAAATGAAAAATAATATTTCACAACACCCAAATATTTTGCAGTTATGGCTACGTGTGCCAATTTCTTATGTAAATATTATTCAAACAATCAAAAACTTTCAAAGAATAAAAAACGCCTACCCTATATCCAGGTATAATATGGTATTGAACAAGGCTAAATGTATATACTGAAAATAGTTTGATGAAAAAATATCTGAACGATACGCAAAGTATACATCATAATACTGAAAGTGTAATCGGAAGGATAGGGCGATTGTGTTTACACTTGTTCAACCGACCTTCACCTCAAAGAAATTGTCTAACATGTACAACAATGTTGACGTATGACATCACTACCACCGACCGATTACTTATAAAATGGCGGCCACGCTGACAAGGGTACACAGGATTTTGCGAGGACCCTTCCCTTGATTCAGGGATCGTTTGTACATAAATATGAGATGTAAGTAATCAGAATGATTCTGACTATATGTGTATTGTTATATGTTTTATCGTTTTCATTGTAAGTAAGAGAAGAAGCCAGAAATGCTGATAAAAACCTTTGTCGTTCTGCGTCAGTCATGGCGTCACGCTGCACGGACACTTCGACAATTTCTTATGAAATATCAAATGATTGCATTGCTTCTTTTTAATTTCCCATTTCTTGCTACGATACTCTTTCCATGCATATTCTAAAGCTATTGAGCCATTGCAAGCAATGAATAGACGGCTGCATGTCGGAAAATTTCAGAAAATGCTACGTAGTATAAAATCGGAATTTTTCTTTCTTTACAAGCGCAGCCTTTCGAGCACAGCGTATTGACACTCAATATCTTTCGTTTCATTTTATCCAGACAGTTGATATTGGTGACAAAGACCATTAGTAATTTGATTCTAAAATGTATGGGGAATTCAGTGATGCATTTGTCGCAGGTAAATGTGATATACACGTGATGTAATTGGCGTCTCATTACCGTCCTCCGCGAAACTTGATTTTGTAAACACTATCCAATATGACGGAAAGCGCACTTCGGCGTTCGTGTTTACAAGTGTATTTTCAGAATTATCATTAGTGATTTCATGAAAACCTGATATCAGTGATCATTAATATGCTATTTTTGAAATTCAATACATCTGAGTAGTAATTATCCGATTTGAACATTTGAAAACATACACCAAATAACGCTGTGAATCGTGATTTCGTAATGTGTCAAATATGGCGACATTTATGGTGAAGCCCATTTTGAAAGTCCATGTTATTTCTCCATCAGGATCCATCGGTAAAGTTGGGTTTTCTCGGTTTTCTTTGGCTTTCCATGATTACGGCTGCAAGGGATGTACCGCGAAGTTGTTTCGCGCCTTTTACCGGTGGTTTAAAAACGTTCGAAAATCTAAAAATAGCACACCGCGCCTTGACGTAAATCCGTTAAGCCGGGCGTAGTAACGCCTAGGCTTAACCGACGTTGTGCATGACGTGTAAGAGGAGGGCGCTGCTAAGCCCGACGTAGTGTGTTACGCCTGACGTTAGCTACGCCCAACATGTGCATACGGCCACGTCTTTCATTCTGCACTGCACCCTGCTGTAATGGGTCCAGGGAACACCCGCACCCTGCTGTAATGGGTCCAGGGAACACCCGCACCCTGCTGTAATGGGTCCAGGGAACACCCGCACCCTGCTGTAATGGGTCCAGGGAACACCCGCACCCTGCTGTAATGGGTCCAGGGAACACCCGCACCCTGCTGTAATGGGTCCAGGGAACACCCGCATGCTGGGGTCCAGGGAACACCCGCACCCTGCTGTAATGGGTCCAGGAACACCCGCACCCTGCTGTAATGGGTCCAGGGAACACCCGCACCCTGCTGTAATGGGGGAACACCCGCACCCTCCTGTAATGGGTCAGGAACACCCGCACCCTGCTGTAATGGGTCAGGGAACACCTGGCTGTAATGGGTCAGGGAACACCCGCACCCTGCTGTAATGGGTCCAGGAACACACGCACCCTGCTGTAATGGGTCCAGGGAACACCCGCACCCTGCTGTAATGGGTCCAGGGAACACCTGCACCCTGCTGTAATGGGTCCAGGGAACACCTGCACCCTGCTGTAATGGGTCCAGGGAACACCTGCACCCTGCTGTAATGGGTCCAGGGAACACCTGCACCCTGCTGTAATGGGTCCAGGGAACACCTGCACCCTGCTGTAATGGGTCAGGTCACAGGCTGTAATGGGTCAGGGAACACCTGCACCCTGCTGTAATGGGTCCAGGGAACACCTGCACCCTGCTGTAATGGGTCCAGGGAACACCCTGCTGTAATGGGTCAGGGAACACCTGCACCCTGCTGTAATGGGTCAGGAACACCTGCACCCTGCTGTAATGGGTCAGGGAACACCTGCACCCTGCTGTAATGGGTCCAGGGAACACCCTGCACCCTGCTGTAATGGGTCCAGGGAACACCTGCACCCTGCTGTAATGGGTCCAGGGAACACCTGCACCCTGCTGTAATGGGTCCAGGGAACACCTGCACCCTGCTGTAATGGGTCCAGGGAACACCTGCACCCTGCTGTAATGGGTCCAGGGAACACCTGCACCCTGCTGTAATGGGTCCAGGGAACACCTGGAATGTGTTGTAATGGGTCCAGGGAACACCTGCATGTGCTGTAATGGGTCCAGGGAACACCTGGAATGTGTTGTTATGGGTCCAGGTCCAGAGGAACTGTGTAAGAATGGCATTTCAAATAGATGTAACCCGTAGATCAACCCATGGTGAATGGATCAGCTGCCCCTATTGATTTCAGACATCTTAGGTGTTGACCAGGGTCTTTATTTCCAGTGAGTTTAGTTTTACTCCACTTTTAGCAATGTTACAGCAATATCACGGAGGGTGACACCAGAAATGGGCTTCACAAATTGTACCCAAGTTGGGAATTGAACCGGCCTTCTGTGTGATGAGTGAATGCTTTTCCCACTAGGCTACTCCACCCACCCCATCTAGTTCCAAGTCCATGCGACTCTTACATACAATTTCTGAAGATCAAGTGTATGAACAATTAACATGCTATCCAAGGCATGTGAGATTTCCACACAATTTACCATGTCAAATCATTGCACAAGCTCTTGAGCATATAACAGATGGGGATGTCAGTGAAAGCGGGAAGAAATCTTCCATTGGCATACTCCGTGGGTCTGTGACCCCCTTTTTGCTAACACCTCACATTTTAAATATACCCTTGAACCAGTCATTGTGGGGCTTGGATATTAAGCACTCCCTTTTTCCATAATCAAGGACCTCACATAATACAGCGGGGCGGTGGGGTAGCCTAATGGTTAAAGCGTTGGCTCGTCACCGAAGACCCGGGTTCTAATCCCCACATGGGTACAATGTGTGAAGCCCATTTCTGGTGTCCCCTGCCGTGATGTTGCTGGAATATTGCTAAAAGCGGCATAAAACCAAACTCAGTCAGTCAGTCACATAATCCAGCATGATTTGGGCAAAGTTTTCCCATTATGGCTATCTGGGATAAAACACAACTTGAGTGGGGTTTCTGTATAAGAAGGTATATTTATTTGCATTTATTAATCAATACAATAACAATAGTTCCATGGAAGCATCATGACCTTTGTAACTTCTTTGAGTGGCATTGCTTAGAAGTTGGAGAGTAATATACAGTCAAACCTTATGGATAAACCTTTGTAGCTTATAAGAAAATCCAACCATATCACTAACAGACATTAAACATTGTACATCATGACATATGAAAAGGCTTAGTAATAAAGGCTATATTCTGCTGAAAGTTGCCTTCTTTAAATAAAGCAGAACCATGCTGTTGATCACTGGATTGTCTGGTCCAGACTATTATTGTTTGTTCCTCACAACTTGTCTCACTGATCAGCTCACAAAAATATATCCTGCTGATTCCCATCACAGAGAAAATTGGCTACAGAACAAGAGAGTTGCTTCCCTTTACAGACCTTTTTGGTGAAAAAGTTTACAAGAGTTGCTTCCCTTTACACACACCACAGCATCTCAAAATGCCCATTAACACTTTGCTACTGAAATTAGTGAAGGCTTCCATGAACTTAGTCTGTCTCACAGTCCTTGGACCACATTATTTTCCCTTCTGCCTACCAATGCTGAAGTCCCTGATGAAGCAAGTCTAGGTTTCTCCAGATTCAGGCTCCCATCTCACTGGGGCTCCTTTTTAATTTAAATGGAAGTGTTTGTCTCTATCAAGATTACTGTATAAGAGGCAAGCCTTTCGTAGCTAGAATTAGTTGGATTTGATGGTGGGTCAGGGTTGAACATCTCACATTACAGGTTTGGTTCCTTGACGGGGCAGATGAATTAGCATTGATTTTGAGGGTTTGTACAAGGAGTGAGTGAGTTGTGTTTTATGCCATTTTTAGCAATATTCCAGCAATTTCACAGCAGGGGAGGGAAATTAAACTAGGGAAATGAACTCGGGCTTCGGCGTGATGACCAAACACTTTAACCACTAGACTACCCCACAGCCCTGAGTGTACAAGGAGGTGGGGGATGGAGGGTGGAGGTGAGGGGGCGGGGCTGAGAAGGTGGGTCTGGGGGGCATCGCCGTATATATTCAGTGCCTTATATGTGGTGATATAAGGTACATGTACTCAAAGACTAAATGTCAGGTTACCATGAGCTGATCAGATGAGTATTGGCATTTTGAGTTACAAATTTGATTTTAATACTTTGGATAGTCTTTCATTGTGGCTAGTCAGGGTAATGTTGGAAGAAAATTCCTACAGAAGAAAACACTGTCTACTTGGTTCACCTCCCTTAACTGGTGGAATGTATTCATATCTAGGACAAGATGGCGACCTCGTTTGGTTGTATGCCTGCATTAGTAAGAAATCATTATAATCGTCACATATCACATTGCACACGTTCAGGACAAATTGTTTGTGTCCGTTCTTCATCCCTTCATCTTCCGGAGGAGAGTTTCATTCCTGCGGCATTCCTGGAAAACAATGTAAATGTTAGGACTGAATCAAAAGAAGGAATTTATCAAAAGGTTAAGGCAACATTGTTTTAGAAAAGTCACAAGGCTCTCACAAAAGTATCAAATGGTCTGTATACAATGTATTTAAATGAGTACAAATTTATTAAGTTTAACGTCAAATTCAACAATATGTCAGCTACACGATGGCAGTCTGCAAATATGTGATCGTTGCTTGCATACCATTAATGTTCTGAGTAAATGAGGAAATGTTATCTTTATATTTTGCAGTATGCTCGATCACAGAAACCTTAAAATAATCAAGGTTAAAACAAACAATGCAGTTGTCAATTTCATAAGTTCACAAGTTTTTCAGTTATAATGAAAGCTCAGTCTCTTCCCTGCCAACACAGGCACCATGACCTACCTCCTTGAAGTCCTTTATCCTTGGAGTACAGTCTCCCATGCCAACACCATGACCTACCTCCTTGAAGTCCTTCATCCTTGAAGTACAGTCTCCCTTGCCAACACCATGACCTACCTCCTTGAAGTCCTTCATCCTTGGAGTACAGTCTCCCCTGCCAACACCATGACCTACCTCCTTGAAGTCCTGTATCCTTGAAGTACAGTCTCCCTGCCAACACCATGACCTACCTCCTTGAAGTCCTTCATCCTTGGAGTACAGTCTCCCCTGCCAACACCATGACCTACCTCCTTGAAGTCCTTCATCCTTGAAGTACAGTCTCCCCTGCCAACACCATGACCTACCTCCTTGAAGTCCTTCATCCTTGAAGTACAGTCTCCCCTGCCAACACCATGACCTACCTCCTTGAAGTCCTTTATCCTTGAAGTACAGTCTCCCCTGCCAACACCATGACCTACCTCCTTGAAGTCCTTCATCCTTGAAGTACAGTCTCACTTGCCAACACCATGACCTACCTCTATGAAGTACAGTCTCCCTTGCCAACACCATGGCCTACCTCCTTGAAGTCCTTTATCCTTGAAGTACAGTCTCCCTTGCCAACACCATGGCCTACCTCCTTGAAGTCCTTCATCCTTGAAGTACAGTCTCCCCTGCCAACACCATGACCTACCTCCTTGAAGTCCTTTATCCTTGAAGTACAGTCTCCCCTGCCAACACCATGACCTACCTCCTTGAAGTCCTTTAATCCTTGAAGTACAGTCTCCCTTGCCAACACCATGACCTACCTCCTTGAAGTCCTTTATCCTTGAAGTACAGTCTCCCTTGCCAACACCATGACCTACCTCCTTGAAGTCCTTTATCCTTGAAGTACAGTCTCACTTGCCAACACCATGACCTACCTCTATGAAGTACAGTCTCCCTTGCCAACACCATGGCCTACCTCCTTGAAGTCCTTTATCCTTGAAGTACAGTCTCCCTTGCCAACACCATGACCTACCTCCTTGAAGTCCTTTATCCTTGAAGTACAGTCTCCCTTGCCAACACCATGACCTACCTCCTGCCCCAAGAATACAGTCTCCCTTGCCAACACCACAATGACCTACCTCCTTGAAGTACAGTCTCCCTTGCCAACACCATGGCCTACCTCCTTGAAGTCCTTTATCCTTGAAGTACAGTCTCCCTTGCCAACACCATGACCTACCTCCTTGAAGTCCTTTATCCTTGAAGTACAGTCTCCCTTGCCAACACCATGACCTACCTCCTTGAAGTACAGTCTCCCTTGCCAACACCATGACCTACCTCCTTGAAGTACAGTCTCCCTTGCCAACACCATGACCTACCTCCTTGAAGTCCTTCACAGTCTTGAAGTACAGTCTCCCTTGCCAACACCATGACCTACCTCCTTGAAGTCCTTCACAGTCTTGAAGTACAGTCTCCCTTGCCAACACCATGACCTACCTCCTTGAAGTCCTTCACAGTCTTGAAGTACAGTCTCCCTTGCCAACACCATGACCTACCTCCTTGAAGTCCTTCACAGTCTTGAAGTACAGTCTCCCTTGCCAACACCATGAACTACCTCTATGAAGTACAGTCTCCCTTGCCAACACCATGGCCTACCTCCTTGAAGTCCTTCATCCTTGAAGTACAGTCTCCCCTGCCAACACCATGACCTACCTCCTTGAAGTCCTTTATCCTTGAAGTACAGTCTCCCCTGCCAACACCATGACCTACCTCCTTGAAGTCCTTTATCCTTGAAGTACAGTCTCCCTTGCCAACACCATGACCTACCTCCTTGAAGTCCTTTATCCTTGAAGTACAGTCTCCCTTGCCAACACCACCATGACCTACCTCCTTGAAGTCCTTTATCCTTGAAGTACAGTCTCCCTTGCCAACACCATGACCTACCTCTATGAAGTACAGTCTCCCCTGCTTGAACACCATGGCCTACCTCCTTGAAGTCCTTTATCCTTGAAGTACAGTCTCCCTTGCCAACACCATGACCTACCTCCTTGAAGTCCTTTATCCTTGAAGTACAGTCTCCCTTGCCAACACCCTGACCTACCTCCTCGCAGTACAGTCTCCCTTGCCAACACAATGACCTACCTCCTTGAAGTACAGTCTCCCTTGCCAACACCATGGCCTACCTCCTTGAAGTCCTTTATCCTTGAAGTACAGTCTCCCTTGCCAACACCATGACCTACCTCCTTGAAGTCCTTTATCCTTGAAGTACAGTCTCCCTTGCCAACACCATGACCTACCTCCTTGAAGTACAGTCTCCCTTGCCAACACCATGACCTACCTCCTTGAAGTACAGTCTCCCTTGCCAACACCATGACCTACCTCCTTGAAGTCCTTCACAGTCTTGAAGTACAGTCTCCCTTGCCAACACCATGACCTACCTCCTTGAAGTCCTTCACAGTCTTGAAGTACAGTCTCCCTTGCCAACACCATGACCTACCTCCTTGAAGTCCTTCACAGTCTTGAAGTACAGTCTCCCTTGCCAACACCATGACCTACCTCCTTGAAGTCAGTCTTCATCACCATGACCTACCTCTATGAAGTACAGTCTCCCTTGCCAACACCATGACCTACCTCTATGAAGTACAGTCTCCCTTGCCAACACCATGACCTACCTCCTTGAAGTCCTTCACAGTCTTGAAGTACAGTCTCTGCTGCTCTACCAGATTCAGATAGTCATCGTTCAGACGGTCCCTCTTCATCTTCTCCTCCTGTTTCTTCTTCTCCACCTGAAGCAAAAAATATCAAACCTCAGTTTCTGCTATCACGTGAACACTGTCTTCTCACTGCTGTTCATCCTGTTTCATTTAGCAATTTCAAGTTTCATCGTACTGCAGACGTAAAGAGTATAGTTGTACATCAGTCATAACAGACAGTTTAAAGTTTCCTACACTAGATGCAAACAGCAAGGTTATCCAGTTTCTCACAACCATCAAAACAGATAGTTTCCTGTTTCCTACAGTTGCTTTCAGTTTCCTACAGCAGACTCATATAGAGTTTCTTACATTCTTGAAACAAGGTTTTACACATAGTTCCAGTTTCCATCAGTAGAGAATGGCTATTGTGTGCATCTCTTTGAACACTATCCTTTCAAAGAAAAGACACTGACAAAAAAGGACAGGGACCTAATCCACAAAACGTACGAGTGCTACGACATTGTAAGCCAATAATAAACGCCAAAGTTACGACAGGTCGTAATGTCATGAATCCTTTGTGGATCGGCACCCAGATCTCTATACTGAACACTGACGAAAACCCCTGGACTGACCTTGGCCCTGTTGCCCTTCACCCCTTCCACAATCTGCTCAAACTGCTTGAGGAACTGGTCCTTGTTGGTCTGAGATGACATCGCTCTGAAACACAAGCCACAAATGCCGAGTGAGTGAGTGAATGGAGGGTGGCACTGGAACCTGTTCATAAAAAGATTCTTTATACTCAGGTCCCCATCCTGCCCCCACATGAATCAAGTACAAGACATGAAAGATATGAAAAGATATTCCAGCTTTTACTTTTAAACAAACAGATTATTTCTTGAAAGGGTCTCTAACTAAATGTCTGTTCGTCACTGGTATTAACTGGTTGGACTAGTATCGACTAGTTGGACTGGAATCAACTGGTTGGACTAGTATCAATTGGTTGGACTGGTATAAACAGGTTGGGCCAGTATCAACTGGTTGGACTGTTATCAGCTGGTTGGACTGGCATTAACTGGTTGGACTGGTATCAGCTGGTTGGACTAGTATAAGCTGGTTGGACTGGCATTAACTGGTTGGACTGGTATCAGCTGGTTGGACTAGCATCAGCTGATTGGGCCCTGCCATGGATCTGATGATCTACTGTCACACACTGATGTCAATACTTACTGAGAAAAGTTATCATGGATGGAGTTCAGCAGGTTGAACTGAAACCACAACACATCTATTAGTTTATAGCAACACACAGCTAACGCCATATTTAAATGTGACTTTTCCATTGTGATGGTCAGACTTTGAACTGAGGACAGTCCAAATCTTAATGACAGATCCTGACTTGAATTATGGAAATTAGTGAGTGAATTGGGTGGAATGTTGCTTTAAACAGCCGTTCAACTATTGTACCATTTGTCTGGTTATTGCGGGAAGGAAGCCGAAAGTTACGAAGACCCAAGACACTGACCACCTTAGATGCAGTAGCGAGTGAGTTGGGTTTAACCAGAGGTACAGATACGCTGTGTATCTGCGTAACTTACGCATATATTTATGTGAAAATTCAATTCCTATTAAGTCTATTGCATACAAGTATGCTTGAATTTTGGTAAATACTCAATAAATGTCATCTTACATGCGTACACACGAAAATGTCAAATTTTAGCTTGCGTACTGGTGGATAGATAAAATAACTGAGGTATACTGAGAGGTTCTATTTCAGGACATGAACTTGACACCTTGCAGTCTTTGTTATTGTTTCTCATATTACAGATCAAATATAAATAACAAACACTAAAATTTAAACTTTATTATATTTTTAAAATTAATGGAAAATGGCAAAATACCCAATTGAGTTTGAGTGAGGTGAGTACAATTTATTTGGTTACTCAAAGGAAAATTAGGATACCCAGTTGAGATGAACACAAGTGAGTACATAACTCAATGACCCCAAAAGTTATCTGTAGCTCTGTTTAACACTACATTGAACAGTACTTGAGTTATATTATTACCTGCAAGCTTAAACTGGTAAAATTGCCTGAAGAGTTGCAGACCCCATACATTTACCACTGTGGATGAACCAGCAGACATTACACAGTCATTATCAGGGCCAATCTTGAATTTGAATGGAATCAGATTCTGTAACACCTAAGGGAGGCAACTCTGCACAACAAACCCCAGTGATAAGTGAGTGAGTGAGTTTTAGTTTTACGCCGCTTTTAGCAATATTCCAGCAATATCACGGAGGGGGACACCAGAAATGGGCTTCACACATTGTACCCATGTGGGGAATCGAACCCGGGTCTTCGGCCCAGTGATAAGTACAGCACTGATGCCCACTATCAGTGAAACAACACAGTACCTCCTTGGCCAGGTAGAGTTTGGTGTCATCGAGAGTGTTGTACAGTGTGTAGAACTGCTTCGTCTCCTTGTGCTTGGCTGCAACTGTAACAACAAAACATATCTACATTTCTTTCTCTTTGTCGAGTGAGTGAGTTGGGTTTTATGCTGCTTTTACCAAAATTCCAGCAGTATTGTGGGAACACAAGATATGGGCTTTACACATTGAACCCATGTTGGGAAACTAACCCGAGTCTTTCACTTAACCACCAGGCCTCCCCAAAAAACCCATCTCCATATCAAGAAGCATACAATCTAGCATGCATTTTGTAATGCCACAGTCAGATACATTTCAGCTATAGCATGGCAGCCTTTGAATAACTGAATCTCGGTAATACAATCTTGTGATTTGACACCTGTGGCAACAACAGATGATTGACATTTTCAGAATTGCCCATGCCATCAGGGTATATTGACTGTGTACACTGACTATATGCCGAACCTTCTGATTGAACTTTTGTTATGGCCAACACATGCTGATGCACAAGACTGTGTTTTGTTGGTTTGTTGAATTTCACGCCACACTTCTGCAATATTCCAGATAATATGGAAGCTTTTGCCTGTAGGGGCATGTCGAACCGGGAAATATGTGATTTAGAACAACCCAAGCCATCACTCATGCAGCATTAATGTCCAGATATATGGAAGACAGTGTCACTGTAAATAATCGAGTCTTACACTGACATATGCCGATGATTGTTTTTTTCCCTTAGCTGACAACCCAGTTGTGATCAACAACATAAGCATTAATGTATATATGGAAGCATGGATACAATGACATGTGTCAACCAAGTCTGAACATATGACCCGTTAGTCGCGTTAGTCGCCTAGTCGCCTCTTACAACAAGCATGGCGCTTGCTGAAGACTGATTCTGACCTGAATCCTCTCGGGTTCCCAGTGTATCAGCTTCATGTTGGAGGACAGTTATATACGTTTCAGATGTTGTCTACTTTTGTGAAACCTGGAGTATGATGCAGACAAACCTTGAAACATAACCAAGGCTACTCTGAGATTCAAACCCACAATCACAGTTTCCTGGCACATCTAAGGGAAGCAACCCTGTAACTTACTTTGGCTGTACAGCTCCACAAATCTGCGCTGATACTGACTGAGTTCGGCCCGAGTTGGAACCTCATCTATGTTCCGCTGCAGGCCAGGCGATCTCACGATTCTTCCGGGCCTGTGGGATACAAAGAAAGAATCTAAACCCAGCGTCACCCGAGATTAAATATATAACGACAAGTTGGAAGTAGTAACAAACATCAGCTGCGTTCAAGAAAACTGCACTTATTTAGCAACCAACATGCGCGTGTGTGTGTGGCTACTTTCACTTGTCTGGACTTGCACCGGTTGCATATCATCCTTCTGATGTTGCTGCTATATGGCAGCAATATGTAAATAATCAAGTCTGGACCAGACAATCCAGTGATCAACACCATGAGCATCGATCTACACATTTGGGATATGATGACGTGTCAATCAAGTCAGCAAGTCTGACCACCCGAAACCCGACTATTCCCACAAGCATAGGTTGCTGAAGACCAATTCTAACCCGGATCCTCACGGGTACGATGTTGCAGTTTAACATGACACCTATCATACTGACTATCTTCTTTGAGTGGCGTTTATGTATGATAAAGAAGAACAATTTTTGTATGGTCAGACAACTTCTTTGTTGCAATAGATGTGATGTTTCTGTGAAGATGCTAACACTGTTATCACTTGCTTACTGACTGTCTGTCAATCCTAACTGTACCCTTAATGCCAAATACTTGGCAGGTTAACATGAAATTCCATCTTTACAGTTTTGGTACGGCATAGCAACCACTGATCTTGGTGTGCTGGCAATTAGGTGCCTCCCTCAGGGAGTGTGGGTTCAAAACCCAAATGGGACACAACCTGACAAAAGCACTAGAATCTGTGCTTTACTGAGAAAGTATAATCCCAAACAGAGTGAGTATGGTTTTACGCCGCTTTCAGCAATATTCCAGCAACATCATTGTGGGGGACACCTGAAATGGGCTTTACACATGGGGAATCAAACCCATGTCTTCAGCATGACTAGCAGATGCTTTAGCCACTAGGCTACCCCACCGCCCAAATCCCAAATAGAACATATGATACTACTTTCGACTTGCCAACCAGAAACTATTTCCAGTGAACTAGGATGGTTATCCAGTACACTGAAACAAGTATTGTTTACATACCAGCAGCAGACGTATCTTATGGAGTTTCTCCTTGTCGGCGATGTACTGCTTGTCGATCAGTCCAGCTCGAGCCTGGGGACACAGGAAACACAAGGGAGATAACCAAGTTCAATATTTAAAGGATGAACACAACTAATCATCACTGAAGGATCTGGGTACAAATAGGTGCATGAGTCATCCTCTATTTCAATACCATAAATCTACCTCAAATTGTAGAGAATGGAAGAGTGTCTCCAGAAAGAAAAATAAATAAATAAATCAGATATATGAAATTTTTTGAGAATGGAACAGATACATAATAATTAAGTTCTTACATTGATCAATATTTGTTTTACACGTTTTTTAGATGTCAATGTGCAGGCATTAAATTCTAAAAAAGGCTTTAAATATGAGTGAGTTGGGTTTTATGCAACTTTTAGGAATATCATCTTTGTTTTACACGTTTTTTAGATGTCAATGTGCAGGCATTAAATTCTAAAAAATGCTTTAAATATGAGTGTGTTGGGTTTTATGCCACTTTTAGGAATATTCCAGTAATATCATGATGAGGGACACCAGAAATGCTTTACACATTCTACCCATGTGGGGAATAAAACCCAGATTATTGGAATCATAAATAAACACTTTAACCACTAGGCTACCCACTGCCACGACAAGGTCTTTACTCAGTCATGTAGCCATTAAAAGATATTGAGCAAAAGTGTGTATGAACCAAAACTGTTTTCTTACAATATTCTCAAACCGACTAAACCTGTTTTTAAGCTGAAACATATATAATACTGTCTGAAGATGTAGTCAATTTCAGCTTCTGGGCCATTGATTTTGCAGAGGACCTTCCCAAAAATAATAATGTAAATTTACTTGAAGAAGTGGTTACCTTATCCTCAGAGTCATCTTCATCTATGTCTTCCTTCAACCGACTGATGTTGTCCTTCAGTCGTGCCATCTCCTCCTGCAGGAACAAGCAACTAACTTTAAACCACATGCATAACAGAAACCCAGACCTTGCAGGGACCTTGAACTTATAAACATGCCCCTTAGCTGTATTGATGAACTTACTTGAGGATATAAAATAGAGACATGAGCTGAATGGTCTTCTACAGTTTTATCAACTCATTCATTCTTGAGCAGGTGATCAAAGAATAGACAAGACTCAGAAGAATATATGTACAAGAATATATATGACATGGCCTTGAACTCCTGAGTTTGTCTTTTTAGTTTTATCAACTCAGTTATTGTGAACTTGTGAATGGAGAAACGACCCTGACCTTGCAATGGGCCTTGAACTCTTGCTCCTGCTTCTTGAGGTTCTCATTCATGGCCACCAGTGACCTCAGGCTGGTCAGGATTCTGTAGCAACAAGAAGGTGAAGTGAGGTGAAATTGGGTTTAACGTCGTACTTAAGAATATTTCGCTCATATGACGGCGTACATGCATGTATATGTGTGGCTGCTTGTACTGGCCCAGACATTAGCTGGTTTTATAGTGCAAGCTCCCAAAGATACCATGCCACAGTGAAGCATGAATACCCCACTCAGACACATTATACTGACTCCGAGCCGACCAGTCCTTGTTGTACCCATTAATGCCGAGCGCCAGGCAGGGACCAACAAGTACCATATTTTAACGTCTTTTGGTATGATGAGGTCGGGGATCAAACCCGCGACCTTCCGCTCTCCTGGCGGACGCTCTAACCATTACACCATGGAGGGGGTCTCGCAACAACAAGAAACGCAGTGAACAAGAAGACCACTCAGCTTGTTGCAAGTTGGAACTGACGACTCCTGGTTTGTCAGGTCACTGGATTGTCTGGTCCAGATTCAATTATTTACAAATTGCCGTCACATAGCTAGAATACTGCCAAGAACAGGGTTAGGCAACAAACAATATCTGTTGTACTTACCAGGGGCGGATACAGCTATTTGAGAAAGGGGGGGTGCACACTATTGAGAAAAGGGGGTACACACTTCATTTTCAACTGAGTTTCAATGGTCATTTAACAAACTTTCAGCACAAAAGGAGGGGTGCACCCCTGCACCCCCCCTCTGGATCCGCCTATGCTTACCCCTGATTCTCCTCTGTTTCAACCTCAGCAAGTTTCTCCATTTCAGTGTCGATAGCTTCACTCTTGTCTTGCACCTGAAACAGGTGAATGATCATTCACAGGTGTGTAATGACTCTACAGGTAGAGAAAGACTTTGCAAGGATGTCACTCATAAAGAGGCTCCACTGACTGTTTTAAGTGACCTTTACAAATGACGACCTTATAGGTGAGCAACAACTTCACATGCTTGACCTTGCCCAAAACTTGTTGATAATCAACAATTCCCAAGTTTCAAGACTGTACAAGTGAAAGCTAACTAGCAAAAACTGGCGTAATGATGTTTTCATAAATACAGAACAAATAATCCATGTAGTAGGATTGGTAAAGAATTGTGTAAAATACTGTTTCAAGCTGTTGGGAGGTAACTATGACTGTGATAAAATCTAATAAAAAAGGTTCATAAAAAATATTTTAACCTTGACTTTTGTCTCACTTTGGAAGAAACTGTTTTATAGCAGGGCCTAGATTTTTGAAACGTTCATACACCTACAAACTTCTTAAGCCCAATCTTTACACATTGGCTACGATCAAAGTTAAGAATTCTTAGGGCTATGAACGCTTCGAAAATCTAGGCCCAGAACTCCATTTTGGAATGTATATACTAAGATTCAGTAACAGACTATGATAAAAACTGATAAAAAGTTGATACTCGTCACTTTGTGACATCATTATTGCAGATGTAAAACAGGTGTATAATAAGTCAACAGGTGAGATCAAACATGTTCCAAAGCCTTCTAGAACACTGCTGGAAGTTGTGATAGATTTGTCTCCCTTCCCACAAGACCATAGTCAGCAGCCATTGGGGCAGTCTAATCCCTATTTTCTACATCTCTTAACACAAGCGGGGTACAAACACCCAACGAATGCCCCTCATTCAATACCATCAATGCTGAAACTTGAAAACAAACTATTTTAAAAATAATTTGACCGACATCTCCTTGTGCTCATCTTATCATCAACATGGCTTAAAACTTTACATTTACACTGACATAATAGATAAAACAACCGTTTTTCATTTCCGACGAATATTACTAACCTCCTTGAGCTTCGTCTGGGTGTCCAGGTAGGTTTGATGAAGTTCTGCATGCTTTGCTGTTACCTAGCAACACAAAAATTGTATTATAACAAAACCGTTACCATAGAGATGTAATCAACTATATCTACGCTGCTCTGCACAATGATAACTCCCCTCTCTACCTAAAGGACCTGATCCAGATGTATACACCAGGACGATATCTCCGATCTCAGAATATGTACAATCTCTCGGTTCCCTCAACATTCACTAAACTTGCTGATCGTGCCTTCTCCAAAGTTGCCCCTACCTTGTGGAACAATCTGCCATTTGAACTCAAAACAGCAAGCTCTCACAAATCCTTCCAGAACTCTCTAAAAACTTTCCTGTTTAATCAAGCATATGATATGTAAATTATCTACCCTGTTCAGCACCATTGAGCAGCTCAAAGTTGGAAAATAGGCGATTGGCGCTATACAAATTAATTATTATTATTATTATTATTATTATTATATGACTTTCTGATGACATCTTCACATTTTGGGAGGGGTGAAAAGACAGTTGGTAAAGTTTGTTGTTTTGTTTGTTGTTTATCACTCAGCAATATTCCAGCTATATGGCGACAATCTGTAAATAATAGAGTCAGGACCAGACAATCCAGTGATCAACAGCATGAGCATTAATCTATGCAATTAGGATACGATTACATGTGTCGCTTGTTGCAAGAGGCGACTAATGGGATTGGGTGGTCAGGCTTGCTGACTTGGTTGACACATGTCATCATATCCCAGTTTTGTAGATATATGCTCATGTTGTTGATTCCTGGATTAACTGGTCCAGATTCGATTATTTACAGTCCACCGCCATATACCTGAAATATTGCTGAGTCAGCATTAAACAACAAAAGCAAACAAACTTACATCCACTGAAAAATGAACTCTGTCAGGAGTCAGAATCAATAGCAGCGAGACCGCCTCTGTGGTGTAGTGGTTAGAGCGTCCGCCCGGAGCGCGGAAGGTTGCGGGTTCGATCCCCGACCGCGTCATACCAAAAGACGTTAAAATATGGTACTTGTTGGTCCCTGTCTGGCGCTCGGCATTAATGGGTACAAGGACTGGTCGGCTCAGAGTCAGTATAATGTGTCTGAGTGGGGTATTCATGCTTCACTGCGGCATGGTATCCCAGTGGGCTAGCACTATAAAACCAGCTTAAGTCTGGGCTAGTACAAGCAGCCGCACATTCACATACACACGCATGTACGTCGTCATATGAGTGAAATATTCTCAAGCACGACGTTAAACCCAATTTCACCTCACCTCACCTCAATAGCAGCGAAAGACTTGTTTCCTGTCTACTGAAGCTGAATGTAATAAGTGAACAACCAGCAGCATGTACAAACAAATAAACCAGTCTACCAACCTCTTCCAGCTTTGTCTTCTGTTGTTCAATCTGTTTCCGGAGGGCAGTGGTGACTCGCTTGTGTTGTTGAGCGCCACCTACACGCTCCGTCTTCTCAATCTGTTCTATCTCAGCTTGCTGAAAAATGGACATAACAGTGAAAATAAGCACTAATTCCACACTCCGGCGCAGTGATGACTTAGCATAACATCACTGCCACAGGCTAATTTGCATGTCACGTGACCAGACTTTTCTTTTGTTTGTAATCAAACGCGCATATTCATAATAAGAAGATACTGGACTCATGAAAGCTTTTCAGTGTGCTCTCTTCATAATGTTTTACTTTGTTGCATATATATTCTTCCACAGCTGCGACAGTAAGGTCTATCACAATACATATTTATATATCACACTGGCTGCATCGTTTGCTCTCCATCAGCTTCGATGACAGCACGTGGAGCCGTACAACCTATGTAAACAAAGGATCGCTACGCAGATCGAAATAGTGTTTCATGATTTTGGATATTTTCTCAGTGAAACTAAACCATTCTATTAAAGATGTTTAGTTAGATGTGTAGACTCGTCAAAAATAAAAGAGTAAAGAAATCTGTACATTATATTGAATGGACATTGCAAGATGTGACGAATCGTCACATTTTTCCGGCCTGTGGCAGAGGTACTATGTTGGCTTGCCGCATGGAACTCTGGGTAGGAGAGTGCACTAATTCCACACAATGACTGCATGCAACTGCTACCCTGATCACCGACCAGCATACATTCAATCTGTATTCCCAGCTTCCTGGGGAGCATACAACTTTACTTGCCTGTCTGGGGTTAAATGTTTTGCACTTTTTTATTACAACGGTCAAACTCAGCGGTGGGGTAGCCGATTGGTCTAAGCATTGGCTCATTACCTAATAGAGGGTTTGAATTCCTGGGAAGTCCATTTCTGGAGTCCCCTTTGTGGATATTGTTGGAATATTGCTTGAGGCAGAATACTGCTAAAGAACAAGACTAACTCACCTACTGTAATTACTTCTGATTTAACATTAAGAGCATTTTTAATATCTTTATAACTCTCGTCAACATTTGACCAGAACAGGAGCTATTCTGAGATTTTGAATAAGTACTGGATGTATATCTATTTTGAAAGGTTATTCATTGAAGCAGGCATTGTTTCACAAGATGAAAGTTTATCCTTTGAGGCTTTTGAATCTCGGCCCCATTTCACAAACCTCTCGTAAGCCTAAGATCTCATAACTTTGCTCGTAGCATTCTTACCTCCTATGTTACAGTGTAGGAGGTACGAATGCTTCGAGAAAAGTTACGAGATCTTAGGCTTATGAGATCTTTGTGAAACGAGGCCTAGGTTCGTGAGTTTTGTTTCCAATGACACTTTGTCCATCTAATGACATAATTATGAATACACAATGCCATTAAGATAGCGGTAAAATGTAACACGTTATTATTGGGATTACGCTCGTATGGAAAGTGAGTGAGTGAGTTATTATTTAACGTCACATCGGAAATATTTCAGCCATATCGTGACCGTATGGAAAGTAGAGATTCTAGATTGTCTCAGGTCCATCCAAGAGTTTGGGTTCCAATAACATTTGAGATTCAAGCAATATCACAGCAAAGGACACCAGACATTGGCTTCAAACACTGTACCTATGTGTGGAATCGAACCTAGGCCTTCAGCGAGATGAGCAAACGCTTTGACCACATGGCCACAATGAAGAAAGCATTTCTTCTCTACTGAGAGTAAGTACAGCTTGAGCTGAAATCTGCCTCGTAAACAAGTTGTGTGTTCCAACATTGCCCTTCCTCAGTCACTGCAGAAAAACAAAACACACTCGCAAGCCCATGCATAGTAGTATTCATGTTTCCACTTAGGTGGGTGAGTGAGTATGGTTTTACGCAGCTTTTAGCAATATTCCAGCAATATCACAGCAGGGGACACCAGAAATGGGCTTCACACATTGAAACGCATGGATCCAGTTGATGAAGGAGGATGAATATTAAAAGTATTTTGCTTCTGGCAATCTATGAAGTGTATCTGGGGCAGAAAAACAATCAAAAACAATTCTCTTGTAAGTTTGGCCAATAAAACATAATGAATTTATTTTTTGAGCAGGGAAAAATAATTTATATTTTTTTTCTTATTCTTGAAAAAACATGACAGGCGGATCCGTAAAACAAGAAATAAAATTGGTCTTGTCTAAGCTACTTTTTTCATTACCCAAATAACACAAGACAACCTGACAATCATTTATTTAATTTAACTTTCATTGTCAGAAACTGGAAGCTTTTGAAGACGGATATGTTTGTCTGTTCTAAACAGAAAAGTCAATGACAGCTGCACCAGTTGTCAAACAATGTAAAAACATCAAACAAGATATTCAACAGATGACCATCATAACATACAAACAATCTGGTGCTGTAAGAAAGGTTTTTTAGCAACATAGAAATACAATATATTCCATATGCAATAAAGCTGCGATATTGATTATAACTCAACATTCAAATCATGCAAATTGGAAAAAATAGAAAGCAAGAATGGGTGATTAAAAAAGGCTGACAGACAAGCTTTTGATAATGTCTAAGGTATGAAACTATATTTTCAAAACAGTTTCTGCCAATATTTAAAAATGAATATCAAAAACATGCAGTAAACAAGAAAATAAAAAGACTCACTTTCTCTGCATACTCAGATGCAATCTGCTGGATCTCCTCTGATTGCATGCCCACGATCGACCCAACAGCACCTGCCGTTAGCTTGCCCTAAACAACGTCAAACAAGGGGGATAACCATGCAGTGCTTCATACAGGAAGCTCCACAGAGGGCGCAACACAACCTGGACATACTGGTCATAGGAGGTACCACACAGGGACATGGTCTGCGATTGGTGGGGAATACAGGTACCACACAGGAACATGGTCTGTGATGGTGGGGAATACAGGTACCACACAGGAACATGGTCTGTGATGGTGGGGAATATAGGTACCACACACGGACATGGTCTGTAATGGTGGGGAATATAGGTACCACACAGGGACATGGTCTGTGATGGTGGGGAATACAGGTACCACACAGGGACATGGTCTGTGATGGTGGGGAATACAGGTACCACACAGGGACATGGTCTGTGATGGTGGGGAATACAGGTACCACACAGGGACATGGTCTGTGATGGTGGGGAATATAGGTACCACACAGGGACATGGTCTGTAATGGTGGGGAATATATAGGTACCACACAGGAACATGGTCTGTGATGGTGGGGAATATACGTACAATACAGGAACATGGTCTGTGAAGGTGGGGAATATAGGTACCACACAGGGACATGGTCTGCAATGGTGGGGAATATAGGTACCACACAGGGACATGGTCTGTGATGGTGGGGAATAAAGGTACCACACAGGGACATGGTCTGTGATGGTGGGGAATATAGGTACCACACAGGGTCATGTCTGTGATGGCTGGGAATATAGGTACCACACAGGGACATGGTCTGTGATGGTGGGGAATATAGGTACCACACAGGGACATGGTCTGTAATGGTGGGAATAAAAGGTACCACACAGGGACATGGTCTGTGATGGTGGGAAATACAGGTACCAAATAAGGACATGGTCTGTGATGGTGGGGAAATATAGGTACCACACAGGGACATGGTCTGTGATGGTGGGAATAAAGGTACCACACAGGGTCATGGTCTGTGATGGTGGGGGAATATAGGTACCACACAGGGACATGGTCTGTAATGGTGGGGAATAAAGGTACCACACAGGGACATGGTCTGTGATGGTGGGGAATATAGGTACCACACAGGGACATGGTCTGTGATGGTGGGGAATATAGGTACCACACAGGGACATGGTCTGTGATGGTGGGGAATATAGGTACCACACAGGGACATGGTCTGTAATGGTGGGGAATAAAGGCACCATACAGGGACATGGTCTGTGATGGTGGGGAATATAGGTACCACACAGGGACATGGTCTGTGATGGCTGGGAATATAGATACCACACAGGGACATGGTCTGAAATGGTGGGGAATATAGGTACCACACAGGGACATGGTCTGTGATGGTGGGGAATATAGGTACCACACAGGGACATGGTCTGTGATGGTGGGGAATATAGGTACCACACAGGGACATGGTCTGTGATGGTGGGGAATATAGGTACCACACAGGGACATGGTCTGTGATGGTGGGGAATATAGGTACCACACAGGGACATGGTCTGTGATGGTGGGGAATATAGGTACCACACAGGGACATGGTCTGTGATGGTAGGGAATACAGGTACCACACAGGGACATGGTCTGTAATGGTGGGGAATATAGGTACCACACAGGGACATGGTCTGTAATGGTGGGGAATAAAGGTACCACACAGTGACATGGTCTGTAATGGTGGGGAATATAGGTACCACACAGGGACATGGTCTGTAATGGTGGGGAATATAGGTACCACACAGGGACATGGTCTGTAATGGTGGGGAATATAGGTACCACACAGGGACATGGTCTGTAATGGTGGGAATATATAGGTACCACACAGGGACATGGTCTGTAATGGTGGGGAATATAGGTACCACACAGTGACATGGTCTGTAATGGTGGGGAATATAGGTACCACACAGGGACATGGTCTGTAATGGTGGGGAATATAGGTACCACACAGTGACATGGTCTGTAATGGTGGGGAATATATAGGTACCACACAGGGACATGGTCTGTAATGGTGGGGAATATAGGTACCACACAGGGACATGGTCTGTAATGGTGGGGAATAAAGGTACCACACAGGGACATGATCTGTGATGGTGGGGAATATAGGTACCACACAGTGACATGGTCTGTGATGGTGGGGAATATAGGTACCACACAGTGACATGGTCTGTGATAACAGGCCAGGTTTGTACAACAGAGCCAACCAACATGGAGGGAACATTCAGTGCAGGGAACATTCAGTCCTACAATGCTACATTAAGTGACCTTCTATTCCCTTAACTGATCACTCTACCCATGACATACATCTTATTCTGCGACACGGAGAACTTGTACAACTAAAGATGTTTCCATGTAGGCTTGTCATTCTTGCTCTGCCAAGATGCGTTACTGCTAAGGCTGTGACATCATCCCTGTCCTACCAATATGGGTGGAATACAATTGGTATCTAGATACTGTTCTTCCTGTCATAATATCTTATTCCCTCCATTTCTGCAAAATGTTGAAACAAGATTTCTGGGAAGAACAAGAACCTGTGAGCTGTAACAGTTAATGTAATCACCCAGTAATACTTAATTTGACATCTTTTCACAAAGAAACCTATAAAAAAACAAAAGGTATAATTCATTGGAGACACAGCCAATGAAAAACATAGGATGAGCTAGCCTGTGCCCTGTGGGGCCCTGAATCTTCCATAATCCAGACCGTCATAAGGCAACATCTTCCTGACATATTGTTGTATCCCAACTGCAGGGATCAATGCCCGTCACATCAATCACTGGATTGTCTGGTTCAGACAGTGAGTGAGTTTAGTTTTACGCCGCTTTTAGCAATATTCCAGCAATATCACGGCGGGGACACTAGAACTGGGCTTCACATATTGTACCCATGTGGAGAATCGAACCCAGGTCTTCAGCGTGACGAGTGAACGCTTTAACCACTAGGCTACCCCACTGCACCTGTTCCAGACAGATTTACAGACCACTGCCATATAGCTGAAACATTGCTAATAGTGGCGATAAACAAACAAACAAACAAAGCTAGCCTGTGAGAGTGAACAGAGAGAAGCTTGAAGGTCGTGTCATGCATCAGCTGGGCTTGTTCTGGTTTACAAGCACAGCATGGTGTCTACATATACTAGTCAAGAATCATCTACATATAATGGGATCAAAAACTAAAAGAATCATGAAAACAAAATTATTTTAAAATTGATTTATAATTAAAACAACCACCATATTCTACTAAGTTTAAATACTATAAAATAAAAATGAACCTTCTTCCATACGTTGTTAAAAACCAAAACTGATATTTAATTACGATACAGCTGTATGACATTTGATTCCAACTATCTTTAACATATGACTGCAGTACAATATCAAACAAACACGTACCATCAGCAAGTACAGCACACTACCGACATTACTAGGAGCATCATGCTGTACGCTAACATTTTATTAATAATAAATATCCATTTCCATGGTAACATACCTCAAGGGCGCCTGTTGCCATCATGTCACTCATCAGCATTTTGATTCGACGCTGAAAAATAAAAAGTTTGCAAAAATATTTACTAATCAGAATTAGGTGTGAACCAGTTCAATGAATTAATTGAGTTTAGTTTTCCACCGATTTTAGCTAATATTCAAGCAATATCATGGCGAGGGCGGGCTTCACATATTGTACCCATGTTGGGAATCGAACCTGGATCTTTGGCGTGATGAGCAAACGCTTTAACCACTAGGCTACCCCATCGTATTGGGATCAAGTGGTAAGGCTTTTGGAACACTTTTTTGCATTAAACATATTTTTCACAGGGTTGTTTTTTTCTGTGTCATCAAATTTACATTTCTTTGTTCCTAGTCATGTTGTTGCAATATTTCTTCAAGATTACAGGAAGTTTATGTTGATGACATTTTAGTCACCAGTTTCAAGTTGGCTGTGAAATTTGCTAATGGATTTTGTGAATTCTCAAACAAAAGGAAAGAAACAAAGAACTACATGTTTTTTTCTTTACTTTTATCTGCATAAACAACCTTAACAGGAAAATTTGAAAAATCATGTTTTGAGATTTCAACTACTTCCAAACACTACTACTACTATTAATGGCCATTTATAAACTGCCTTTTCCACACAGTTGTGCATGCTCAAAGCGCTATTCCCCCGACAACCCAAGCTGCCTGTGAGGCGCTAGAAGGTTAATAGTCACATGACTTATCCCACCGGGTACCCATTTTATGCTGGGTGAACTAATTCATCTCTTTTTCCCCTACAATTTGCTTTCACTTTTCATCTCCTTGTCTGTAGGCTGACAATAAATTCTGAATGTGAAAACACTGTTACCCACAAATCCCCTCTTCCCATTATCGCCTCTTACCTCTTCCTCTTCCTGTGTTTCCTCAGTGGCCTCAGGCACCTGTTGCCCTGACAACCCAGCAGCCACAGCCTTTTTCTTTGCTGCTTTCTCATCTTCCTACAATAGAATCATAAATAAGATGTACCAAACTGATATGCATCGACTTGTTGTTTCAGGATACCATGCTGATCAAGTATGGATCTATAAGATCGTATAATATAGAGTCCACTTTTGAGCCAAGGTTGAAGGCACTCGTGAAGGTCCGGGTTAGAATTGTTTTTCAGTAACCCATGCTTGTCGTAAGAGGCGACTAACAGGATCGGCTGGTCAGGCTTGCTGATTTGGTTGACACATTATCGTATCCCAATTGCATAGATTGATGCTCATACTGTTGATCACTGGATTGTTTGGTCCAGACTCGATTATTTACAGTCTGCTGCCAAATAGCTGGAATATTGCTGAGTGCGACGTTAAACAACCAACCAAACCAACCAAACTTCACAATTTCAGATACCACAGTCTCTCTGTTAAACCACTCATGTTCAAGCCATTAGAAATAGCATACCAAGAAATCTGTACAAAATGTGCACAAGATAAGCACGTTGCAAGGAGTAACTAGTGATAATTCAGAATCGATTGATTACAGACCGCTGAAGATTCTCCTCACCAATGGTTCGCAATACATCTAGTCTCATTGTGTTCCCAAAAACAACTGACTGACTGACTGAGTTTAGTTTTACACCGCTTTTAGCAATATTCCAGCAACATCAAGGCGGGGGACACCAGAAATGGGCTTCACACATTGTACCCATGTGGGTGGATCTTCAGTGTGATGAGCCAACGCTTTAACCTCTAGGCTACCCCACCGCCCCTCCCAAAACAAGACCAGGTTAGATTGGTCTTCAGCAAACAAGTTTACCTCAAGAGGCACCTAACAGGATTGGCCGGTTTGGCTTATTGACTTGGTTGATGCATGTCATATCGGAATTGATTATATTGGTGCTCATGATGTCAATCACTAGGTCATTGTATCTCAGATGCTTAGATTGACAGTGATATCAATCATACCTTTGGGTGTTTCTTTTAAGCTTTCATATACTTTTGTTCTAAGAGAGGTCAGGTGAGGTGAAATTGGGTTTAATGTCGTACTTGAGAATATTTCACTCATATGACAACGTGCATGCATGTGTATGTGTAGGTGCGGCTGCTTGTACTAGCCCAGACTGAAGCTGGTTTTATAGTGCTAGCCCACTGAGATACCATGCCGCAGTGAAGCATGAATACCCCACTGAGACACATTATACCGACCAGTCCTTGATGTACCCATTAATGTCGAGCGCCAGGCAGGGACCAACAAGTGCCATATTTTAAATCGTCTCTTTGGTATGACGCGGCGGTCGGTCTGTTCGAAACCCAGTTCAACCTTCCCGTCCACCACGGAGGCGACGCTCCCGGGTGGGCTCTAACCACTACACCTACGGAGGCGGTCTGTTCTTAGAGAAACCCCAGTTCCGGTCCCCGGGTGGACGCTCTAACCACTACACCACGGAGGTGGTCTGTTCTTAGGGAAACCCCAGTTCCGGTCCCCGGGTGGACGCTCTAACCACTACACCACGGAGGCGGTCTGTTCTTAGAGAAACCCCAGTTCCGGTCCCCGGGTGGACGCTCTAACCACTACACCACGGAGGCGGTCTGTTCTTAGAGAAACCCCAGTTCCGGTCCCCGGGTGGACGCTCTAACCACTACACCACGGAAGCGGTCTGTTCTTAGAAACCCCAGTTCCGTCCCCTCGTGGGACGCTTCTAACCACTACACCACGGAAGGTCATGTTCTTAGAAAACCCCAGTTCCGGTCTGGGCGGGCCAGCTCTAACCACTACCCCAGTCTGTTCTAGAGAAACCCCAGTTCGGTCGGTGGGCTCTAACCACTACACCACGGAGGCGGTCTGTTCTTAGAGAAACCCCAGTTCCGGTCCCCGGGCGGACGCTCTAACCACTACACCACGGAGGCCGTCTGTTCTAAGAGAAACCCCAGTTCCGGTTCCTCCGGGCGGACGCTCTAACCACTACACCACAGAGGCGGTCTGTTCTAAGAGAAACCCCAGGATATTTACCTGTTCCTCCTTCTGCGTCTTGCTCACACCATACCGCCTGCAGAGAGAAATATGTTATTACTGATTCATCCTTAACATTGTTCACTTCATCTCAAACAGCACTCCTGATAATCAACAATCAAAGCAATTGTCCACTCCTGTCCTGCGTAAATTTACCTATGACATGAAATGGAGTTTCTCCGTGTGCTGAAGATTATTGCAGTTACATAATGGCAGCATTTAACACTTAACACGCTGCTTTAAGTGATATTTCAGCAATGTCAAGGCGGAGGGCATTGTACCCATATGGGGAATCAAACTCGGGTCTTTGGTGTTATGAGCCAAAGCTTTAACCACTAGGCTACCCCACTGCCTTGACTCTGTTATGGTCAATCCTTATTTTATCCATTTCACAATCTATCATGGCCACCACGCATTTGAGCTGCTAGACATTTGAACCTGGGATATAAGAAACAGACCATCATATGAAATTCATCCACCTGAAGAAGGGACAATAACTAGCCCAGAAACGTTGTGGCAAACAAATAAAGAAGTTGTTATCGATAAGATTTGTCTTGTAAGACCACTAAATGTTTTGAGATTTGTTCTTGAATAGTAAAATATTTTGTTTATAAACATACTGGAAAAAATTATTTGGCACAAATTTAGAAAAAAATGTGAAAGATGAAGTGGACTGTTCCAGCAAAATAAGTATGACACCCCATAAAGACAAATGGAATATCCCAGTCATAGTATCCTCCTGAAAATGAACCCGTGAAGATCCGGGTTAGAATGAGCCTTCAGTAACCCATGCTTGTTGTAAGAGGCGACTAACGGGATCGGGTGGTGAGGCCTTCTGGCTTGGTTGACACATGTCATCGGTTCCCATTTGCGCAGATCGATGCTCATGCTGTTGATCATTCGATTATCCAGTCCAGACTCGATTATTTACAGACTGCCGCCATATAGCTGGAATATTGCTGAGTGCGGAGTAAAACTAAACTCACTCACTCACTCCTGAAAATGAACTTGTTGATCCAATCCAGGAGGTCATGATGACCTGTTTCACAAGATCAATAATTGTCACGAGTGATCCAGCTGTTGAAAGTTTTTCCTCAAATGTTGAACAGATAATCATTATACTGAACCAGGACAAGCCATCACCTGTATCATATATACATAGTCATGCAAAGACTTTGAAAGTTATCCAGAAGTGAACGAACATGTATGTCTTCATGACATTTTGGGAGTAAACCTTAAACCAGATTTAAAATTTGTTGATTTTCAGGAAATCCACATGAATTCTTATCATTATTCAAAATTTAGTTGCTGTGCTGTTTTCTTACATACTAGTTATGTGTCAACATCTGTCATGTTGGGCTCTGAAGTGAGGAAAAAAAAATGAGTGAGTGAGTGAGAGTTGGAATTTATGCCACTTTTAGCAATGTTCACTCATTGTACACATGAAATGGGCTTCATAGGCTGATGCTTTAACCACTTGGCTACACCACCGCCCCTGGAAGAAAATAGAGCTTTGGCACTGGAGCTCACTTTTAAATGTAGTCAATAGTTCAAAATGGTAACGAAGGCAGAGATTAAAATGGTTACTATCAGCGCCGTTATTCAAATTTTGTTTGCAAATATTCCAAAATGTAATGATTTTAACAAAATACTACAGTGAACAAGAAGACAGAGTCATCAATATCCCCCGCCACAGTGTTCTGTTCTTATTTGGTTCCTGTTTTTTTTTTATATCTCCACCATGACATTCATGTCCTGACAACACTTACCAAATTTGGTTTCCCTATCTATAACGGTGTGAGAAAATTTGTCCCCATTGGCGATACCGTGCACTTAGTCAAGAAACACATGACAAGGGCCATAACTCTGTAACAAATTGTAACACGGTTTCCATCCATCACTCCATGAAGGCATTCATGTCCTGAAAATTTGGTTTCCCTATTTATAACATTTTTTGAGAAAATCTGTCCCCATCAGCTCGGACAGACGGAGCTCAAACCTATATCCGACTCACATTTCGTGTCGGGAATAATAATGGAGGCAACCATACATGAGAAAGTTCTTCTCCCTCTGCTCTAAATAAGCATTTTTGGGGCCTTTTAGATCAGGGTTAAAGTATGGGAGTTCTGATCACCTTACAGTGGCTGTGTTAAACTTGGCCTTGGATGATATTGAACTTATAGCAGATGTAGATGACAAGTGAAAAATGGTGTATGCCATTGTATACCTGGGGCCCATTTCACAAAGTAATCATAGCGTTATGGCTGCCAGAAGTCCAGGACTCCAGATGTGGGCCGTATCGGCATATGTACTCATAAAAAATATGCATGATACTGTAGGACATAATTTGGAAAACATAGCAGATACACAGCAATGGTGTTCTTAGAATCATTTATTGTTTCATTGTTTAGTTACACAAGAGTAGCAATGTTGTGGTGCATATATGAAACGAAATACAAGATTACTGATACTCCATTGATTTCCATTCAGTGAGTGAGTGAGTGAGTATGGTTTTACCCCGCTTATAGCAATATTCCAGCAACATCACGGCGGGGGACACCAGAAATGGACTTCACACATTGTACCCATGTGGGGAATCGAACCTGGGTCTTCGGCTTGACGAACGAACGCTTTAACCACTAGGCTACCCCACCGCCACAATTTCCATTCAGTACTCTAAATGTACTCTAAGGTTTTCCAGTACTCCTATATTGAAAAGAATAGAAATAGAATAAGGAGTACATACTCCTGATGTTGACAAATTATCTGGAGCCCTGATAAGTCTATGATAAACTATGCAGTGTATGAAATAAGCCAAAAACCCAGCCAGACATCAGGGCTGGTAACTTCAAAATGTTCCCGGCCGAAAATGGATTTAACCAGACCAAACAATCCAAAGAAAATAAATCAATTTTTCGTTACAATAAATGATTTAATGAAACTGAGACATGTATTTACTGCCTAACAGTCTATTGACAACAGTCATTATTATTACACAGATGTAATGAACATGTTATCTAAAATTTTTTAGAGCATCGGGCTGGCTAGCTGTAAATTTAGACCGTCTGTCAAAACTCTATACTGTCTCAGGCAGTCTGACAGGCCTTATTTCATACACTAAAGTATGGGAGTCACCTCAGCACTACGATCGCTTTGTGAAATGGGACCCTGGATTAGAACAGCACTGAACAACAACAAAATCTTCTATACAGACCTGCCATACTCCAGAAGTGTCGAGTGGACCCTCGTCTCCTCATTTCTAAGCTTGGCATTGTCGCTACGGCGATACTGCCGCTGGGGCTTGTACACATCCTGCACAGAAAACAATTGTGAGTGAGTGGTTTAGATTTTAGCAATATTCCAGCAACATCACAGTGAGGGACACCAGAAATGGGCTTCACACATTGTACCCATGTGGAGAATCAAACCCGGATCTTCGGCGTGATGAGCCAAAGCTTTAAGCACTAGGCTAACCCACCACCCCGCACAGAAAACAAAAGGTGCTACACCATTGAAACCAACCTGTGAATTTTCAAGTTAAAATCTTGGTTGACAAATGTCATTGTATCCCAATTATGTAGATTGATGCACGTGCTGTTGATAACTGGATTGTTTGGTCCTTCACGACATTACGCATACGCGACGCGACGCATACGCACGCGACGCACGCACTCACGCACGCACGCACACAAAGCTCTAGGTTACAGTTCTCACCTTTACTCCCCCAACAGTTGACAAAGCTTTGGGTTTCACTTCTTCAAAAGCTTGATCCTGCAATAAATAAGAAGATTCTTTATATAGACATTCATTCAGGCATTTTTGTGGATAGGATGTATTGTATCGATTCATTCAAGACTTTGATTATTACAAATACAAATAGGTTCATGGATGTGCACCACTTTGGTGAAACAGACACACATGGCTTTGGTGCTGACTACAATTATACAAGGAACCTGTTGATGGTGGATAAAATCTTCTGGCATAAAATATATTAAGTTCACTTTTGTTAACAGATATCAGCTCATATTGTGAGGAAGTGAATTTGTTCAGTCCTTCCATCATATCACAGCAATCCAGCTTGAAGTGGGAGGTAAATCAGACATTATGTGAACCTTGCAATCATGGATATGACACTGACAAACAAAGAGTTACGACTAGGGTGGATATGGAATTGGAATCTACAGTGGATCGTGACACACCTAAGGGAGGTAACTGCGCAAACATCTTGTTTGAGCATATGGGACACCTATGCCCTGTATGTATGTCTTGCATCATACTTTGTTGCATTCATTCTGCATCAGTGAGTGAGTGAGTTTAGTTTTACGGAACTTTTAGCGATATTCCAGCAATATCACGGCTGGGGACACCAGAAATGGGTTTCACACATTTACCCATGTGGGGAATCGAACCCGGGTCTTCAGTGTGATGGACAAACGTTTTAACCACGAGGCTACCTCACCGCCCCTAATTCTGCATCATGCAACTGAGACAGCAGCCTGCAAATAACTGAGCCGTTCTGGCAAACAGAGGGTGGATATCATGAGCATAAGTTGAAATGACTTGCGACCACCCAAGTCATACAGACCAGCTGACTGAATTTAGTTGTCGCTTACAATGTTTTGTTTCTTTTCCGTACTTTTAATATTCCAGCTACGTGACAGCATATTGTGAATAATTGGGTGAGATACTATGGCAAGAACGGTTAGTGAGCCTCAAAACCAGATCTAGTCAGTCCTGTCTTACGGCAAGGGTTGCTAAAGACGAATTCATGTCTACTGCTGTGAGATTTCACAGAGAGACAGTGTGTTTCAATCAATATCAGCCATAGAGACAGTCGCTTTGTGGAAAGGGTTGGTTGGTTGTTTAACGCCACACTCAGCAATATTCTAGCTACACGGCTTCAGTCCGTATATAATCGAGTCTGGACCAGTCAATCCAGTGATCAACATCATGAACATCAAACTACACCACTGGGATACGATGACATGTGTCAACCAAGTCAGCGAGTCTGACCACTCGATCTTGTTAATCACCTCTTACGACAAGCACGGGTTGCTGAAGACCAATTCTAGCCCAGATCTCCATGGGTTTGGTGGAATGGGACCCAGATGTGGACATGCTGTAAAACCTCTGTATTTTGTGGCGATTAATGAAAGCAAACTGATAAAAATATAGCTTTTGCCATTGTTCAGATCTGTAGGATATGATTTTAGACTTGCAGGATGTATTCACTATTTGCAGGGTAGAATTTCTGTTTGGAGTGAATGAATCAGTATGGTTTTACGCCGCTTTTAGCAATATTCCAGCAATATAATGACACAGGACACCAGAAATGGGCTTCAGACATTGTACCCACATGGGGAATTGAACTTGGGTCTTGAGCATGACGAGTGGATAATTTAACCATTAGGCTGTTTGGAACCAATAAAGTTCATCAGTCATTTACTGACATAGTATCCCACCAAATTATTTACAATATTCTGTCTCATCATCAGTCATTTACTGACATAGTTTCCCACCAAATTATTTACAATATTCTGTCTCATCATCAGTCATTTACTGACATAGTATCCCACCAAATTATTTACAATATTCTGTCTCATCATCAGTCATTTACTGACATAGTATCCCACCAAATTATTTACAATATTCTGTCTCATCATCAGTCATTTACTGACATAGTATCCCACCAAATTATTTACAATATTCTGTCTCATCATCAGTCATTTACTGACATAGTATCCCACCAAATTATTTACAATATTCTGTCTCATCATCAGTCATTTACTGACATAGTATCCCACCAAATTATTTACAATATTCTGTCTCATAGCTGGAACATTTCAAAGTGCGGCAAAACACCCAAAACGATGTAAGCGACAACTAAATTCAGTCAGCTGGTCTGGCTGTATGTATGACTTAGGTGGTCACAAGACATATGACCTACAGCTCAAAAGAAAATGTTGCACAGTTTTGTTGATCTTGATGTGCCATCAGGAAACATAAAACAACACACACTGAGCTGTCAGGTTGACTGCACACATGATGTAGGCGCTAAATATAACATCACACTGTTTACCCAACATGGAGGCTGTGACTCAGCAGCAGCTATAATCCTTGCCCTGCCTTTAATCCTTTACAGAGCTTAGTGACTGTTGAAATAGTCAAGATGTTAGAGTACTTTTGCTTATTTTAGTGCTCATCCAATGACTTATTCCATGGGTTCCCTGATACACACTGTGGGTGTTCATGACAACCATGGTTCCCTGATACATACTGTGGGTGTTCATGACAACCATGGTTCCCTGATACACACTGTGGGTGTTCATGACAACCATGGTTCCCTGATACACACTGTGGGTGTTCATGACAACCATGGTTCCCTGATACACACTGTGGGTGTTCATGACAACCATGGTTCCCTGATACACACTGTGGGTGTTCATGACAACCATGGTTCCCTGATACACACTGTGGGTGTTCATGACAACTAATGTTCCCTGATACACACTGTGGGTGTTCATGACAACTATGGTTCCCTGATACACACTGTGGGTGTTCATGACAACCATGGTTCCCTGATACACACTGTGGGTGTTCATGACAACCATGGTTCCCTGATACACACTGTGGGTGTTCATGACAACCATGGTTCCCTGATACACACTGTGGGTGTTCATGTTCCTGATACAACCATGGTTCCCTGATACACACTGTGGGTGTTCATGACAACTATGGTTCCCTGATACACACTGTGGGTGTTCATGACAACCATGGTTCCTGATACACACTGTGGGTGTTCATGATGACAACCATGGTTCCCTGATACACACTGTGGGTGTTCATGACAACCTGTGGTTCCCTGATACACACTGTGGGTGTTCATGACAACCATGGTTCCCTGATACACACTGTGGGTGTTCATGACAACTATGGTTCCCTGATACACATTGTGGGTGTTCATGACAACCATGGTTCCCTGATACACACTGTGGGTGTTCATGACAACTATGGGTTCCCTGATACACACTGTGGGTGTTCATGACAACTATGGGTTCCCTGATACACACTGTGGGTGTTCATGACAACCATGGTTCCCTGATACACACTGTGGGTGTTCATGACAACCATGGTTCCCTGATACACACTGTGGGTGTTCATGACAACTATGGTTCTCTGATACACACTGTGGGTATTCATAACCACTGATAACACTGGTTCCTGATGACAACAACATGGTTCCCCTGATACACACTGTGGGTGTTCATGACAACCATGTTCCCTGATACACACTGTGGGTTTCATGACAACCATGGTTCCCTGATACACTGTGTGGTGTTCATGACAACCATGGTTCCCCTGATACACACTGTGGGTGTTCATGACAACCATGGTTCCCTGATACACACTGTGGGTGTTCATGACAACTATGGTTCCCTGATACACACTGTGGGTGTTCATGACAACCAATGTTCCCTGATACACACTGTGGGTGTTCATGACAACCATGGTTCCCTGATACACACTGTGGGTGTTCATGACAACCATGGTTCCCTGATACACACTGTGGGGTGTTAATCATGACAACTATGGTTCCCTGATACACACTGTGGGTGTTCATGACAACCATGGTTCCCTGATACACACTGTGGGTGTTCATGACAACTATGGTTCCCTGATACACACTGTGGGTGTTCATGACAACCATGGTTCCCTGATACACACTGTGGGTGTTCATGACAACCATGGTTCCCTGATACACACTGTGGGTGTTCATGACAACTATGGGTTCCCTGATACACACTGTGGGTGTTCATGACAACTATGGTTCCCTGGAGACGAATTCTGTTCGAAATTTTGACACGTATTTGATAATGATATTTAATGATAACTGCGCTGTGATATCAATGCAAACTGTTTACTCCCACCCAATGACACCACATATTTCTGTAGTTGAAAACTACGCAGATGAGATAAGAGGCGGCAGCCACGTAGTATACAACTACGTCATGTGTTTGCTGTTGTTTCAAGGCCACATAGGTAAGGCAATAATCATGTCGAGTGATAGTCAAGCAGAAACTGCTTTGATAACATACAGTCAAGCAATCTCAAAAGTTGCATTCACGAAATGAAATTTTAAAACTGTCAAGCAATCTCCAAACAAAATTTCAAATAAAGACTAATGCCCAATTTTTCCTGTATAAATTTACATCATTTACATATTAAAGTCTACCATATATGAACTGCTAATATATCCTCTTCTCAAAAGCAAACCTTTTTACAAAATACAAAAATCAATCGACAAAAAAAAAGAACTTAAGTGAAGGAATGAGGTGATGAAAGACTTGGAAGGTAACATAAACAATATGGTCTGGATTTACAACTTCTTTATTATTCCAACATGACGTTTCTGGGCTACTTCTTGCCCCTTCATGAAGTGATTAATAAGAAATAAGTTGTAAATCCATACCTAGTCTGTCGTGCAGACCCTGAAGCAAATATATCCAAGAAAGCCCACACAAGTCTAGAAAATGTGGCATGTCTAGATTTCCTCAGCTTCAGGAAAATGAAGAAAGTCTCAGGGCTCTTTTTCATTATATTCTATATTTTTTTACTATGAACTTTTTTCAGTAAAATATGTTCATTTCAGAGACTAGTTGTTAGTCTAATCCATACCTTGCATTGTAATATAAATATACATCTTATACATATAAAATATTTCAAATTTTTCAAAGACTTCTAAGATATCTTCTTAAAATACAAAAATCAAT